CCAAAAAAAAAAAAAAAAAAAAAAAAAAAACACCACAACAAAAACAAATGAGAGAGTGAGAAAAAAAGAAAAAGTTCCACTCCCAGGTTTTTCTCTGCTGTCACTGGTAGACTGTGTGTGGAGACAGAATCCCAGTGCAAGCTGATCTGTCCCAGCGAGCCAGCAGTGGCTATTTGGTGGTGTAGTGGCTAGTCTCAGCAAGCCTGCACCTTCTGGCCGAGACCAGACTTAACTGAGCCTGTAACCGGCAGCTCACTTTTCGCCTGGCCTGAGCCCAGCTGGGAGCCGTGCTGGAGCGGCTGGCTGCTCTGAGGTCAGCCGGCCCCTCTCTGAGATGACTCCTGGCCAGTTACTCTCTCACACAGGACGCTTGAGCCCTCCGTACTCATCACCAGCTAGTGCAGTTCTTTATGTCTTCTGCTCCCCTCCCCGCTGGGTCTCTCCATGGAGGCCTCTGGAATGCCAGCAGCCACCATGTGTCTGTAGGTTTGAATCATTCCTTTTAAGTAGTGAGTCTTGTCTCAGGGCAAAGGTGCCACTGGTTACCTCCTGCTTCTTCATTCAGGTTTCTCCCATCAATCTCTGTGGGCTTAAATTCATGCTTCAGATTCTTCGTAAGTCCAGAGGATGCACTTTCCTCCTTGTCTTCCTCGTGGCGCTATATTCCAGTGTCTGGACAGTGACTCTCAGAGAGGCTCTTCCTCTGCCACTTACCACTCCCCCACCTTGCTGATGTGCAATTTGTAATTCAAACAGCATGAGAGCATTTCAGTGGCAGGTGGTTCAGTCTCTCATCCTGATGCCCTTCCCAGGTGCTGAGTCCCTCTTGTGCTGTCCCTCTCTGCATGTCATCCCCAGAGGTTCTGGATGGGAAGGTCGGTACCTGCCCTGCTGGGTCCAGTAGCCAGATGGACTGTGGAGCATTTGAAGCATGACAGTATGAGTGGAGATGTGCTTACCATGTTTCAGACTTAGTATGGAAAAAGCATATACTATTACTGCTTTTCACATTGGTAACCTTCTGGATGTAGTAGGCTAAATGTGACACATTGTATTAGTTTGTCTGTAATACTTTTTAGTGGCTACTAAAAAAATTTCAAATCATATATTTCTGCTGGACACATTGTTCTACATAGTACAGTTGTAGATTGTGTTTGTTTCTAATGAAGAAAAATGTATTTTAAAATAGTTGCTTGAGAAGTACAAGATGTAACGGAAGTGCTATCCTCCTTCTCCGCAGTATTCCGATGAGTTTGTTCAGTCAGCCTATCTGTCTCGTCGTCTCGCCTACTTTTGTGCGCGGCGTCTTTCCCTGCTGCTGAGCGACAGCCCCAGCCTCCTCGCTGCCCACTCACCGCACATGATGATAGGACCGAACAGCTCCAGCATCGGGGCCCCCAGCCCTGGCCCCCCAGGCCCTGGCATGAGCCCTGTGCAGCTGGCCTTCTCAGATTTCCTTTCCTGTGCACAGCATGGTCCTCTGGTTTATGGACTTAGTTGTATGTTGCAGGTAAGTTCATGGCCTGTGTCATTTTTTTGTTAACATTCAGTTGTAGAAAACAGCTGGGCTGGGAATAGCCTAGGTGTTTTTACCTCTTGTGTCACAAACCTATTTTTTTTCCTTAACCAAGTAACTTATATTGAAATTTTATGGGTTTTTTATTATTGTATATTGGATCAAGCTGACAGATTTGTTGCATCCATCTAGGCAAAAGGTACTATGCTTGTCCTTTATTCAGATCATTAAGCGCTTGAGTTAGAGTCCCTCAGGGAGCCCACAGAGTAAGTCAGCTTTATTACTATTCTTCTGGAAAGATAGCGTCTTCAGGCACCATTTCCTCAGTTCACATCTTAGGTTGGTTGCCTCCCTGTGTAGCTTTAAAGTCTGGGTCACTTAGCGGACTATAGTCATCGGCACAGTTGCTTTTGCAGTTCTTGAGTACCCAGCAGTATGTGGGTGCTGGGTCTATCCTGTCAGGAATGAGACGCGGCTCTGCTCTAGAGGAAATTCACCCTTGACTGTTCACGTTTCTTGAGTTTTTAGTGTTTCTCGCTCTTTACTTAGTTTCTTTGAAACTAGGGTGTCTGAAGACATGGCTTCCCCCCAGTTGGAGTTTTCTGTCCTGTTGGGAGGACTGTGTCATAAACGTGCAGTTCCTGTGGACCATGAGCAGGGCTGACGGAGAGATGCATGGGAGGCTGAGGCAGCTGAAAGGGAGCTTGTGGTCCATTCTAAATTTAAGGAGCCTTTCTGAGGAATGCGTTTTAGGTGTTAATGAGCTGAGGAAATTGAAAAGTAAGAAGAGATATGTAAGGGTGTTCCTGGCAGTAGTACAACCCAGGAAAAGGCCCAGAGAACTGATCAGCCAGTGCGTGTGCAAGTGGGTCTTCATGGAGCTAGAGTGAGAAATGTGTGGGGCCTTCTGTTGGGGTGTAGTCAGAGGGTTTTACAGGGGGAGTGACACTGACACTATCAGTTGTACTTCAATTAGATGGCTTTTGCCATAGGAGGAGGATTAATGGGGTTTGGGTGGTCGGAAAGGAGGAACCAGGCTGAGAGCTAAGTGTGGAAACATTGAGGTGAGGAGGTCAGTATTGGACTAGTGGATGACATTGGGCCTTCTGCATCTGGGTTCATGTCTCTGGATTCAGCCAACCTCAACCAAAGTACTCAGAAAACATGTCTGAGCATGTAAAGACATTTTTCTTGTCACTATTCCCTAAATAGTGGAACATAACTGTTTACCTGGCATTTATATTGTAGTAGATAATATAAGGTTATTAGAGTTATTAGAGTATGTAGGATCTTGCAGATTATATGCAAAGGCCGCATCATTTTATGTGGGGTCTTGAGCATGTGCAGAGGTAGTATTTGTGAGGGGTGCTGGAACTGTTCTTTCATAGATGGCGGGCCATCCATTCCACTGGCCCTTTAAGTGGATATGTTGAGGAGATGGTTCTATGTCTGCTCCTGAAGATGAGGGCAGAGGATTGGCCACATGAGTGGTTGTGAATCATGAAGGCCCCGTGGCTGGTCATAACCAAGGGTTGAGATTGCTTGAAGAGTTTGTGGTGAGGCAGGACCCACGGACCTCAAGGTTATGAGTGGTACAGAGCTGAGCTGAGGGCAAATCCAGATAGGAGGCCAGGAAGGCTGGCTGGACTAGAAAAAGCAGCGGGGAGAGTCCTGTTGCAGAAACAAAGATGAGGAGAGCAGTGTTAATATTGTTGCAGTTTTACTGTGAAATTTTATTAACCTTTATTATGTTCTAAGTTGCAACATAGTTTGCAGAAGCTGCCTATGGCCCATAGGAAATGATTCCTACACCACTGCTACTGGAACAGTGGCCCAGGTCACGGGCGAGTTGCAGAGCTGGAAATTAATACCCGGAAACCTTGATTCCAGAAGCTACACTCAGCTACTGTGCTAAGAAACCGGAGGCCGCAGAAGGTTTTAAAAAGTAGTAGTGGGTGGGTGAAGTTGCCGCTGTTCATGTGGTGGATGCTGATCATCTTATTAAGAGCTACTTCAGTGGGAGGGTGGGAAAGAGCACGAAGGGTACTAACTGCGAGATGTGTGAGGGCAGAGAAGACGATGGGGAGTGGGGAGTAAGGCTGCTGGTGGGTGGAAAAGCTGTGACTGTGTGCAATACATTGATGGATGGGTGGACTGCAGTGCTCTAGATGAAATGTGGGGCTTCTCGTGTCCTAGGCTCCTGCTGAGCTGTATCTGTAGCCCTGAGTGAAGTTTGCAGAAGCGTTTTGTTTATTTTCTGATGGGTAGGTTTGAGTGTATTTCTAAGCTAAGGGCAAAGTGGTACAAAGAGAGAGCCTGAGAATGGGAGAGGAGGGGTTTGCTGGGTTCGTGTGCTGGATATGGGAGGCTTTCAGAATTCAGGGAAGGGCTCCCTTGTGGTCAGGAGCCAGGAAGCCCACATCCGCCAGGCAGGAGGACGGAGGTAGGGTGTGGACCGGTGGAGACAGATGTGTTGGTGGTGTTCAGGGAGCTGCCGTTCTTCTCGTCTGCCACCTGTTCTCAATGGGGATGCCTCTTAGACTTCAAAATTTATTTTTTATATTTCATTTGCATGTTGGAGAAAAGATTGCACTAAGTTCAAATAGCTTGCTGCTCAGTTCGTGATAGCGCATGCTTCAGACTCTTTGTAGCTCTGATTTTTTTTTTTTTTTTCCCCCGAGCCGGGGATTGAACTCAGGCCCTTTCGCTTGCCAGGGAAGCACTTATTCCACTGAGCCATCTCCCCAGCCCTGTAGCTCTGATTTTAAACCTTGCCTCATTGCTTAGCTTTGTATGTTGAAATACTAGCTAATAAATGATAATATTCTTTAATTTAAAAGGCTGTATTTTTTCCCTTTGAAATTAATGATTCTTAGTTTTGTCTTAAAGTTGAGAGTGGAAAATATATTTATATTTTAATTCTTGTGGAGGAAACTATGATGCAACTGTGAAAGGGACTCATTTCTTCTATTAAGTTATGACTATACTTGCCCTCTTCCTCTAAATGTCCAGAGTTTTTCCCCTCTTTCTAGACTGTCACTCTCTGTTGCCCAAGTGCCTTGGTGTGGAATTACTCCACAAATGAAAATAAGAGTGTGAACCCGGGCTCACCGCTGGATCTGCTGCAGGTGGCCCCTTCCAGCCTTCCCATGCCTGGCGGGAACTCGGCTTTCAATCAGCAGGTAGGCTTCCCAGCAGTGCCGTGAGGGTGTGTGCATTCTCCAGGGGTATCAGGCAGTGCAGTAGAGCCTGAGTGCTAGCGTGAGATGCCCGCATGTCAGGCCCCTCTGCCTGCACTCTCTGGGTGACCCGAGGCTTTCTCCTGCCTCTTCTCACACAGACATCCATGAAGGCTTTCCCTTTTTGTTCACCCTCCTGCTAAGCAGTTCTTGCTGAGTGTCCTCTACCCAAATGATAATTTTCGGGTTGATACTAACAACTTGACTGTGACTCCCACATTAGTAATTTAGGAGTTGTTTTACTTTTTTGTTCCTGCTATATCATTCATTTTAAGGATTTTTGCAACTTGAGCCTTAGGATTATAATTGACATTTGGAATATAATCCTTGTATTTTAGTAGTTTTTAAAATTACTAAAACATTGGTAGTTGTTTTCCTGCATACATAGGTGAATGGCTTATGGAGGATGTTTTAGAATTTTCACTTGTCCTTATGGTATCCTAAAGAAAATTTGCATGTTAGGTTGTTTTTGCAAGGATTTATTTTTCTGTGTATTTAATATTGAATACTAACGTTGAATCATGATTTTTAAATTTTTAAAAATGTATTTCTCAGTCAGCCAGCTATGTTTTTATTTATTTATTTATTTATTTATTTATTTATTTAATGTATTTGGTACAGGGTCTCACTACACAGCTTGACTCATAGTGATCCTCCTGTTTTCAGACTTCCTTATTTATTTATTTATTTAATGTATTTGGTACAGGGTCTCACTACACAGCTTGACTCATAGTGATCCTCCTGTTTTCAGACTTCCCAGCACTGGGATTATAGGCGGGTGCCACCATGTCTGGTCTTGGTGGCTGGCTCAGCGTGCCCAGGGACAGGGCCTGTACTGCATGCATGTAGTGTGAGGGATCAGCTATGGTTTTTGTAATGCAGTCAAGATTGTCGTTTACCATAGGATGCACTACTTGATGTGATTTGGACAGCAACTGTGGCTTTCCAAGCTCAAATTAATTAGAAATGATTCTCTTTCAGGTCCGGGCAAGGATTTATGAGGTAGAGCAGCAGATAAAACAAAGAGGTCGTGCAGTGGAAGTTCGGTGGTCTTTTGACAAGTGCCAAGAGTCGACAGCAGGTACTGAATGCAGCAGGAGAACGGGTGCTTATGCCCTGTATAATTCTTGTAAAACGCTCTATAAATAAGGAGGCTGTTCTCCAGAGCCCTCCGTGCCTTTTGAGGACATTGCTTATGTCTTTCAGAGCCTGGCATCATTGTCTGTAGATAGCATCAGCTCTGGTTCTGTCAATAATCCTGTGACTGTGTGTCCTGAGAACTGTACCTTGTGGAAGATTGCCTTGCCCTCACATATTGATAATTTTGTGTTATGCCGTCCTGGCTCTATTTGACCTCTAACTGTCTGCTTAATTTGTGTATCTAGGGGTGACTATTAGTCGTGTTTTACACACATTAGAAGTCTTGGATCGTCACTGTTTTGACCGGACTGATTCCAGCAACTCAATGGAGACCCTGTACCATAAAATATTCTGGGCAAATCAGAACAAAGATAACCAAGAGGTAGTTACTATTTTTTCTTTTTTTTTTCCCTCTTGCTTTTGAACATATTTTCTTCTTCCTCATTCAGTAAACTCTGACAAGGCCTTTTCTATGAAGTCTAATATCTTACGAAGCCTTATACACTTTGAAATCTTTCTGTTGTTGGACTAAAATGATGCACTGTTAACCACTTAGAGTTTACCCCTAGAGTCACTTGTAAGTAAACACACTGACTGTCCTGTGCACAGCTCAGGCAGGTGTTATTTCAAGCAGCCGATTCAGTTTTCTATTTGTTATGTTATCTTACAAAAATTTACGAAGTATGTAATTTTTAGTCATCCTGTATTTAAATAATTGGACTGGTAAATGGTTAAAAGCATTGCCCATTGGATTAGTCTGCCTTATAGATTGATTAGATTTTTCTTGGTTGTTTCCATATCCTCTATTTTAGTTTCAGCAAAATGTCCTTCATTTAATGGTTGAACTTTGTACAATATTTTAGTTCAAATTTAGGGAATATATTTCAGTATACAGCACAGCAGAGGGCAGTGTGTGAATATTTGAAAAACCTTAGTATGTTAGTCAAGGTTTTCCAGAGAAACAGAACCAATAGAAAAAAAAGCTATGGGGCTGGGGAGATGGCTCAGTAGAATAAGTGCTTCCCTGGCAAGCACAAGGGCCTGAGTTCGATCCCCGGTTCTGCCAAAAAAAAAAGCTATGTACCTATGTATATTTTTATATTTATATTGACCTAGAGAAATAAGTGAGTGCTGTTTTTTTCTTTTTAGAAGTCCGCCATCATGACTGTCGCAGATGATAAGCGTGACGTGTGCAGGGCAGGCTGGGCTGGGCTGATGGGCAGTCGAGTCTGGCAGTCCTGTTCTTCCTCTTCTGGGGACTCCAGTCTTTATTTTTTATTTTTTATTTTTATAAAGAGAATTTAAAAAATAGGAAAAAAAAGCATAGAAATGATACTGAATTTCACTAAACAAAGTAATGAGAATTCACCAGTGGTTGTTATAATTCGCATATTGTTGTCTTCAAATGAGTTGCTTGGATTACCAGATATAAGCATGCAAAATTGTTCAAAAAAGTTAAAAAGGAGAGGGAAAAAATGAAAACATTAGCTTTCCTTTTCAGGAGAGCAGTGGAAATCAGCAGTACAATTAATTCTCCACGCAATCCTGTGTATAGACATCTGTATTTCTTTCTCCTTTTTTCCTCTCATCCCAATGAGACCCATCCACTGCTTTGCTGAAAGTTTACTGGTTTACATGTGAATTGCATCTAGAAAAATACACAAAATACCTTTGTGGTGACATCTGGGCTAATGTTTAAGCAAAGAACTGGCTATCATACCTGGGAAATTTTGCATATTATCACAATTTTATCAGTTTTTATGTTTTCCTAGCAGTAAATTGTTTCATGGGTGAGCTGGTTGATCAATGTAGCATTTTCAGGGTTTCTTTCTTTCTTTTTATCCCCAGCCTTTCTTGGGGAAAAAATGACTCCTATTTCTTTTCACAATCAGAGATGCCTATGATATATGCAGTTGGTGGTAGATACCAGGAATGCTGAGTAACCCTTAGAATGCCTTTAAAGAATACCCTCGTTAATTGACTATAAGTATCTTGATTTTCTTAGGCTAGTTTGTTGGGATGTATATGTGGAAAGACAAGAAGATATGGCAAAGACAGCCCCAAGCCTTTGCTGTCTTTATGTAAGCCTAATATACAGTCCAGATTGGTCCCTGTAGGGGTAGAAATTTTAAAGGGTGTCTCTTTGTAATAAAGACCTGCTTAGGCTTAAAGGCTGCTGAGATTTTGTGCATAAATGTGCACTGTCTGGAAAGAAGGCAGGGCGCCCCAGACACCAAGGTGTCCTAGGAGGTGTGCGTGCCCCGTGCTGCCTGTTGGCTAGCAGCCACAAGGTTTCCTGGCGAGGGTTTTGCTAGGGTCATCAGATGCACCTCGGTCTTATGTCTGTATCCTTCCAGGGAGAGAACTGGCCAGCTTCTCATTTACTGCCTCGTTTGCCTGCAGAAACTCTTAATTACCCAGAACTACTCTTCAGGGACGATGACAATGGCAATGTCTTATAAAGGGTTGAAATTATATTGTGATGTTTCGAGTAAAATCGTGGTATTGGCAGGGTTCTTGCTGATGCTCACTACAGGGGGTTTTTGAGAGGAGTCATTGAGGGGTGAGGAAAATTGGAAGACCTGCTGAGAGCACATGTGTACATGCTTCTTCTGTTTAGGATTTATGACAAATAGTTGCTATGGTAACACTGCTATAGAATTTATAAGTAAGGGTGTAGAAGTAGAGTTTTCCCCTTACAAGTGTCTCTGAGCTGAGATTGGTTCTGATCTGAGCTTCTGTGAGAGCCGACTCTGTCCGGTAGAGGAGGCTCGTGCCACGAGAGGGCGCCACGTTCCCAGTTAGCAGTATTTATGTCAGGGCTTTGACTCAGCTCTGGAGAGCCGATGTGAAGAGAAGTGTTTGTGTGGTGAATTTGCTGTTTTATGAGTAAGGTAAAAAAAATTTCAGCCTTTAACTCAGACTGATCATCTGATTTTAACCTGCCAGAAAGAATGTTTAAATAGATCATTTTATAATATTTAAAATGAAATAATTTTTCAAATATGATTTTTGGCTTAGTGTGTGTGAAGGTGTATGTGTACATATGCATGTAAACAACCAAGTTTTTTTCCATAATTTTATTGAGAGACAAATAGCAATGAGACAGTTTCAAACCAAATTGGTAGGACAGTCTCAATAATTAACACATTGCATACATTCTTCCTAGTGGTTAATTGCTGTACAAGATGCGGACATGATATCCTATTTACAAACACCATTAGAACAAATCCCTCTATTCATTAAGAGAATGTAACTGTATATCTATCCTAACCATTTTGAATACACAGATACAAAATGGACATTCATCTGTACCCCCCCCTTTTTTTTTGATAAGTTCTGTTATTTGAATATTATAGGTGTGTTAACTCAGCAAAATATTCTAATAAACAACCAAATTTTATTTCTTTACTTTCTCCCAGGGGTTTTCTATTTTTTGACGACTAAGTCCCTTTCTGTATTTCTGGAATTCATGTGGTTCTCAGCAGCTGTGTGACCTTGAGTAGATTATAGAAGACGGGAGGCTGCATATTGTTGAACGAGCATAGGGTACTTAGTGGTTATTACTTTTATTTTTTTAGGCTGGCTCTGAATGCCTTCAGGGCAGATTTGGCTGGCTGGAGTTGTGGGGATCGAATCACAGCAACCTGAGCCTGACTACTTTGTTGAAACAGCCCCTTAACCAACTGAGCTAAGGGGCAGGCCCCCGACCAGCCTCTATTGCAGTGGGTTTAAGGTTTACTTTTCTTTCTTTCTTTCTTTTCCTTCTTTCTGTTTGAGACAAGGTCTCACTATGCAGTGCAGTTGGCCTTTGTAGCCCAGGCTGGTCTCCAAGTTCCAGTGATCCCCTTGCCTCTGCCTCCAAGTGCTGGGATTACACGCATGTGCCACCATGCCCAGCTGAGGTTTGCTTTTACGAGACGTAGTATGTAGGTATGGTAAGGCCTCAGGTTGTATAGCCTGTTCCTCACATCTATTTGGGAAACTTCATTCACCCTACTTGATTTCCTTCTTTTGGGGAACTGATAATAAAAATTGGGTCCTCTCTATTTCCTTAGAGAACAGGAAGACTGTCTTCTGAGATGGGAGAAGCCAAGAGGTCTGAGGTTTGGAGCTGTGTGTGCAGTTGCTTCCTGTATTTGCTGAAAGCCCATTGGGAACTAGTACAAGGAGTGAAGGCCCTGAGAGCCTGCCCCTGCCTGCGCCTGGCCTGGGGCTGCTGTGCTCTGCAGAGGGCCTGGCCTGTGCCTGTGGCTGCCGGCACTCAACTCCACACAGAGTGCGTTCTTCCTGTACCCTTTTCTTTGTTAGCCTCATATCCTGTTTCAGCTCTTGTAGGTCATGGCTTATGTGCTATAGTGAGAAGGGGGTAAAAAAAAAAATCAGAAACCTTTCTGTGTGTGTACTTGTTTTAGTTCTATGCTTCTTGATTTTCAACTGAGTGTAGTGTGAAATATAGAAATTGCTACATTTAGGTCAGGGCTCAGATGTTCATGTCCCGCAGTGGCCAGGCAGACCAAATAAGCCGGTGGTGGGCTGCCAAGTCCCGAGTGCAGGGTAGTGGGTTGGGACGCTGGGAAACGGGTGTGCCCTGTGTGAGGGGCCAGCACCTCTCAGACCACACTGCCAGCTGTGTGCTCCGAGTGGTCTGTGCCTCCAGCCATTTGACAAAAGCTGGGCATCAAGATGGGGATGTGAACTTACCCAGGACCTCAGCACTGCGCTGGCTGAGCGGCGAGTCCCTGCCTGGGGGTGCAGATGCCTGCACCTTCTCAGCTGCCAGTGCACACTCCGTGTGGTGCTTACTGCTTATGTGCTTGCGTCATACTTCAGAGCTGCTTCTTTAGGTGAGGGAGATGAAGAGAGCGGGGCCACCTCCCCTATGAGGTAGTCAGTTGTCGCGGGGCTGGGGACCTTCTGATTCCAGGGCAGTGACCTGGGCCCCGTTCCTGCACCTGTGAGTAGCAGGGCGGGAGGCCACAGCCTTGCAGAGCTCCCTGACCACTTCCTTCCTCCTGGCTGCTCGCCCTGGTTGTGAGGTGCTGGAAAGCAGAGGCAGATGTGTCCTGGGGTCCTGTGGGGACGTGGGCAGAGAGGAGGTCCAGAGGTGGCAGGAAGAGCTGGCTTTCACTTCTCTCACTGCTTTTCCGTGAGCAGTGAGCAGGCCAGCCCAGCTGAGCCGACGGAGGCTCTGACGAGGAGCGCGTCTGCGTTTCCTCTTTAATGCCTCAGTGCCTTCGCCAGACAGAGCTTGGAGACGCGCACGTCTGGGTGCCTGTTTGCTTTGTATGTGTTCATCCGGCCTCTTTGGCTAGCAGGGTTCTTAAGTCTAGAGAATGTGCTTTGCTCTCCGGCCACCGCCTTCGGCCGGCTGGGGTCTGT